GGTTCCTAAGGTACGAAACCAAACCTCACAAAACCTGCTGTTGGAGTATGGAAGGTTTTGGGCAGTTAGGGTTAACATATGATAATGTCTGCCGTGATTTGATAATCCCTTCTGCATAAAAATGCACTGGCACCTGGATACGAGACAGCTTATTCCATTCCTCCCGGTCTGCGAAACTTGTCAAACGCCCACCAAGTCCATATAAGGAGATTCTTCTGGACTTCTTGCACATGGAATATACCATAAAATGGACAGGGGTGTTTGGGAAAATGAAAGTAAACTTCTTGAACAAAACCCTTGGGAATCTATTGTATACTGACTTCTTTTGACGCTCTGACAAAAATGGTACTGATAAATGGGAATAAAAATTTGCCTGGTCAGTCTTAAACAAACGTGTAAGACTGTCTTAGTAGAATGAACACTGATACAGTAATTGTGGCTCAGCATTAGTCTCCTCAGCTAGTTTTAAATGCACATTAAAGACTGGCCAAGCGCATATTTCCTTAGCAAAAAGCACTGAACGTGTAAAGACGTTTTTCAACGGTGCACAGAGATGAGGATAGGAGGATTGGAGGGTGAAACATTGTCTTCTTTTGTGCAATTTTTCTTGAAAAGTCTAGATAAATCCACGGAATCTCTAAACTACAGCGTACATGTAGCTCTTTCAGCTGCCCCAAATACCGGTATGGTCAGCAAATTTCTACAAAACATTCTTAACATCCTCCTGACATAATTCATACAAACTATGCCAAATTGGCACCATCTATAGAAAACTCATTTCTGCAAGCAGGAATTAATCATATGAATGAAATGAGTTTGGCACATGCTATGGCACACACTAGCACTCTGTGCATGTACATGTAGCTGGGCTGGCCCAACTGTAGTACTTGAGTTGGATCAGTCCCAATATCCGGTTCGGACGTGACTTTGTCAAACACGCAGATGCACCACAATTTGCAGGCTCCCACTGGGTGATCGCTGAAGTTGCGCGTTAACTTCCGGTTTCATGGTTCCATGTAAACGACGATCAATGCATTACTCTATGAGCAGTGCACATGCTGTGGGCGTGGTTTAAACTGAAGTGACGTCCCACTTAATTACGAACCATATATACTAGTACATGCAGTTGGGGCTGTTGTTATAACATGTACATATACATGTAGTTGGGACATAACACCCAACTACCGTTGGTTCACCTGCTGTATGTAGTGCATTCCTCATCTAAAGTGACACTACGTACACTGTACTGCTAAAATTGCCTTGTCCTACGTGCATATCATATACATGTACATGTACATGTGCAGTGTATGTGTAATTTGAGCCCTGAGCATTAAAAGCAAACAGGTGCATATCTTATGGTGCATGCATGGACAGCATTGTACAGGTATATCAGTTACTGTTGGACTTTGACTGCAAGGCAAGACAAACATACATGTACATACATGTACATGTACATACAAACAAGGTCCCCATGACTGGCAAGTGCACATGTATGTCCATGTAGGTAGAAAGCCATCTGTGGGAAAATGTTTCTGAATATCTTGAAATGTACCAGTTTGTTTGTGTTTGCACAAAAGACACATAAACTGACTCCAACACAAAAATCTACTGTCGTGTACCACCATACACTACAGGTGCTTCCTTGGTTCTTGTTAATTTGAGCAGGGAAGATACAACATGTTAACAGTGTTCATTTACATTTGGACTACTACTGGGGCTTGTAGTACTTGTCTATGCATGTATGGTACATTTGCATGGACTTACATGTAACCTAATGTACTGTACTTGGTTCCATTTTAAGAGGTTACATTTTACTAAAATACCGAAAAAAAAAATTCACAGATTCAAAAACCAACCTTACTGAAACCAAAATTTGTCATTTATCAGTGCAAATTATGCCCCCCAAATAAAAAACATTGTTTTATATCACCCAAAAATAAATTCTACATTATCATTTTTTAGAATACAAGATGTAGCACAAGTTTGCAGGGGATTTTTCTTTTTAGGGGGAGGGGCTCCAAATTTATGACTGGCCTCCGGTTTTTACTACTAATTATATTGGGGTAGTGCCTTGGGATAAAGGGCATCTGGTTCCAATAAATCCTGTCAAATCATACCCAGCAAGCAGACTGGCTCAAGTGAATGTAAATGTAATATGCTCGCAGACATATGTAAGTGCCCTACCTTGTCAATCAGTCCAAGTACAGTGCCATGCCAAGAGGAGAAAACCTTTCAGAAAAATCATCATTATTTTCCAGAAGGGAATACTCCAAACATTTGATAAACATTTTTTCCCTCACCTTTGTTTCCAGAGAGTTTATCCAACCATTCATGTGTTTCACATGAAATTCACTCCACTGCTAAAACTTAATAGCATCAAGCACGGCACTCTAACTCCCACCAGGCTTCCCACTAATTTGCTGCGGGTCCAGCTACAGTTTGGCTTGCCCACCTGCCAAGCTACATTTCCTGTGAAAATATTTCTCTTCATCACAGAATTATCTCACAACTACCAGCCCTGACTGCTGGATTGGTTTTTGATGAAAGGCATCAAGTATCATTTTGGAAATGGAAAGATTGGCCAATTTTAAAATGAGATCAAATTCATCAAATACTTACTCCTGAGGGTCATTTGTACTGCATGGTACATATACTTTTTACTGTTACTATAAAATTGTCTTTTGCAACATCCTGATACCCTGCCATGGAGTGAAATTTGCCCAAGTGGCTGTGTGTAGCAGCCAAGCTCAGTTGGCCTATCTGTATGCACCTGTACTACTCATGTCTACATCTACTGACTTGCCAGCTCCACAAACTCTGATACAGTTATCTGCAATGCACTGAATCATCCCTGTAACTAACAACTACAAATAATCATAATAGAGACCCCTTATGGGTTGGTTTTTTTACAGCATCAGGGGCCAATTTCATAGAGCTGCTTAAGCACAAAATTTGCTTAAGCGGGCAAACACTATGCTCAATAAACAAAGGTTACCAGCTCAAACTCTATCTGATTGTCATGCTAATCAAAAAACAAGCTAAATACAATCCCAAAACAATATACATCACATGGAGGTTTGGCTGGTTACCTGATTTATCAAGTAAGATTTTTTCGTGCTTAAGCAAATTTTGTGCTAAAGCAGCTCTATGAAATTGGGCCCAAATGCAGGTCAGGCAACAAGGTATGCAGGATGCTATGATATCAGCAGTGAATGTACTCTAATATAGGTAGACAGCACTCATACTACCGTAGTATTCACAAATTTCAAAGTCTAGTCTCCTGTTGTGTTTTTTCTATTATGCAACACAACTTTGCACAGCTTCAGTGTGTATTACAGTTAATCGTTTGCCAGCACAAAATGACTTCTTTTTTCTTTTGGGCTGTCTTCATCATTCCAGTTGGTTTTACTGCGCAATTATTCCAGTCACACCAGTGGGACAGAAGAGAAACAGTTGCTGAACAGCACAAACTGTAATCGGATGGCTGAGGGGTTGTTTATTGCAATGCGCAAAATCACACAGCTGTGTATAAATTGTACATGTAATAAAAGTACGTGTACATCTTTGTGCTGCTAACCAAAAGACCCAAAGAGTGACTACTGTACAGGCCAGCGACAGCTGTCAAGCATGTATATGTACCCAAGAGTGGCAATGATTTCACAGCCCACATTGAGGAGTTACATGTATACCAGGAAAGAATTCCATGATGGTCCAATATAGAATTGATGTCACTGGGCAGCTGACTGGAACCGCTGAAACTGAAGTTTAACGGCTGGTTCACACTACCTGCGTTTGTACACATGGAGCGTGTAATATGAACGTCGCATTTGACGTTCACACTTTCATGTTTTCTCAAGTCTTGGCTGTGTGTGCGTATGTATGTGACAAAAGTTTAGAAATTTCAATTTGTCCCAATACGCATTCATCTTGTACGTACGCACTGTCCATTACTTTTACAAACTGCGTGCAAGGGCGTGCATTTTCATTATACACTTTTCACGCACTGCAGACACCTCAAAATAGACCTTCATGCTGCGTACACAGTGAATACGTAGTGAGTATATGAACCGGCCTTAACTGAATCCACCCGTTTCGGAAACGCTCAGCCACGAGTACCACTGATCTCCATGCCGAGTGCACACAACATCGGGCCGGGGGTGAGGCTGTGCATGCAGCAAGCGTTGGTGACCATTGGCCTAGTTACCTGCACATTAGCCATGATCTTAAGATGGTAGAGTCCTGCTAGCCCAGGTTGAAATGAAGACAATGTCCAACCTAGGCTTGCAGGACTATACTATCTTAAGATCATGACCAAAATAACATTTATATTTTCAACAATGTGCAGGTATCTAGGCCAACTTAATGTGAAAACCAATTGAACTTGACAATAGGTGGCAAAATTAGGGACATGACAACTATATGGTCACAGTTCCTTTTTTATAGCTCCATGCTTAGTCCGGTGTCAGGTCAACTCGTCCCCTGACCGATTCGCCCCTTTCCAACTTGCCCCCTCGTAAACTCGCCCCCTGACCGACTTGCCCCTTACCAACTCACCCCCTGGCCGACTCGACCCCTGACCGACTTGCCCCCTGACCAAGGGCAAGTCGGTCAGGGTGCGAGTCAGTCAGGGGCGAGTAGGTCAGGGGGCGAGTTGGCTAGGGGGCGAGTTGGCAAGAGGCAAGTTGGCCATGGGGCGAGTTGGTAAGGGCGAGCTGGTAAGGGGTGAGTCGGCCAAGGGGCGAGTTGAGCTACAATCATTAGTCCCAGGCACGAGGGCCTACTTAGTCTAAATTAAAAAATGGAGTTCTAACATCCCACTTCATCTTAACAAACTTTTTTAGGCCTAATTGTTAATACCAGTTCATACTTTGTGTGAAAGCAACCACAAATGCAAATTTATGATGCCACCTTCATGACTTTTCAGATCAAATAGTTGAATTGCAAATTTTGCAAAGTTGAACATATTTCAAGTACAGCAACTTTTGCTGAAAATTTTTCAGGACACCGAATTCGCTTCACTTGCACATTTGCCTCACTTTCACATTCACCTCACTTTCACATTCACCAGCATGCTGAACCATATTTAACTCAAACAGGTCATGGAGGTAGGTTACACTACAACTTTGGTGTTCATCGTCCAACTTACTTCAAAACTCTAAGTTCTACTGCGCGCTACTCGGTGTGAGAAGCACGGAGTATCGGAGTGACTTCTCGACGTAAAGAAGAGGCAGATGACAAACCCCAGATGTTACTGTTAGGGATTTCCTTCTTCTGTCATCTGTAAAACGTTAAAAACTTGTTTTTACTATAGACCTAGGCCATGTACATGTCCTTACCTCAATATCTGCCCTGGCCAGACTGATGGATCCTCGGCACCCAAGGTGAATGTCCGTGTGTGACTTGAAGTAGCTTAGCGTACCATTCCGGAGCGACACCCAGCGGTCTTGCCAGCCGTGGATGTAGTTAGTCCACTTGTTCAGCTTGTCTTCGAGCTCCGGTACGCTCTCGATGCCGTCGCTCTCGGAGTCGTCATCTTCTTCTTCGTCCTCGCTCAGGAAGATTGCAGGATCGTCAGACATTTTCCGTTCTAACTCAATCCTACTTGTGTCATGCATCATCTAATAGTGTTCGTTTTGAAGCCTCTACTACCGATGAAAAAGAGGAGAAAGGAACGTTTCTAGACTACGGTCATTGGACTGCTCGGTCTTTGGTCAGGAAGGGTGGGTAGTGTCATGTGTTCAGTATGTCATGTAGGTCTAGCCTGTGTGTTGGGACGGCTGTTCGGATACGTATATCAGGGTTCAATCATTGAAGCATTTAATTTGAAATGAACGGGCGCGGATTGAAAGAAAGTGCGCTTGGGTGTAAATCGAGACGTTGAAAAAAAAAGTGGGTGGCCACGCTTTGAAGTTGATCACAAAATTATTTGCCAGCCAGCCCTGGATTTAAATTTACCTTCTGATACTGTTATAGGTGGTAAACTTTTGTACAGCTGGATCAACATTTTGATACAGCTGTGCAAAATTTTGAATTTAGGTCCACAATGCAGGTGGTGTGCACGCTATGATCTTTTTCTTGGAGGACTAAGTTCCAGGGGTGGGAAGGGGAGGTAGCGATGGGGATAGCCTTTACTCAAGGTGTGCGTGGCTACCTGACACACGACGCACACCCTGGCTGCTAGCACGACAAATCTCATCGGTCTGCCTCTTGTCAGTGCAGTGACAGTGCACCACTGAGAACAGATTGCTCTGCATGCATCCTCCGTGAGTGCCTAGACTTCCAACTACCTGAGGACCTTGACCTCACAAACCCCACTCCATCTTCCCACTGTGAGCTTGCTACATCTAGAAGATATTACATGAGAGCTGTCTGCCTCATACGAAAGAAGAAGATTCCATCTTTTCTTGTTTTTCCCTCTTTTGAGTGTGGCCCAAATTTACAGGTGGTTCTTTAATCCTCTGTTTGCCCTGTGGTACTCTCCAAATTCTTCATGAACATTGCCCACATAACGTAATAATGCCAGATCCGGTAGGGGGGGACAAGATGGAACGAGTTGCATTTTTTCACAGTTTTCAGAATGATACTAAGCATTTTTCTTTGGAGGACTGAAAACAGTCTAATTTTTGGGATTTTCTTGGCTCCGCTAAAAATATCCGAAATTTAATTATCAATTTCGCAGCCAGTCGAGTCCAGTTCATGCAGCCATCGCTGTCACACATACCAGCCACGCTATTCACACGCATGAACACCGCAAGGCGGGGGGTTTGAACACCGCACATCCGTCATGAAATATGACTTAAGTTATAGTTATGAGTCATGTGATTGCGTTTCTAATACCACAGCACTAGCAGTTTGCAGTTAGCACCATGTCGATTAGGGTTTGAAGGTCGAAATCAGTCATTGGTCATCGCGAGGTTGACAGCTCGGCCAAGTTGGTGTTGTTGCAAGGCAAAGCTAGCCAAAGCTGGATTCATCTAGTACCGGTACTAGCTTTATACAAAATGCAATGTGTCGTCATGCCGGGGGCCCGGGGGGGGGGGTTGTGTTCCCAGTATTTTTGCCAAGCAGACACTTATTAACTGAGTATACTTTTTTTTCTCTGATTCACCTAAAATATTGTTTTGGTCTTGTTTTGGGTCCTTTCTTTTGTCAAATAAAGTCTTGATTGAGTGAGACTCAATTCGACTTACTGACTCAAGTCATCACAAGTCTGCCTTTACACATCGGACCTAGGCCTACAGTACAGAATTAGTTAAACAATGGACATGGAGGACACCGACTGGAATGAAGATGAGGTAGAGGAAGATGAACCAAGATGGACTGAGCCTGCTGACTTGCTTCTTGGGGTGCATTCTGGTGGTTGGCGGGAGGCGAGTCTCTCCTCTTTCAGTGCCAAGCCGAGTGGTAAATGCTTAAATCTTTATATAAAAAAAATCACTTGCCACCCTGTGCACAAGGTAACCTTTTCAAGGTAAATGTACATGTAGGCCTATGTGCACTGCTAAATTTGACGCTGTGGGATATGTTATGATCACTTTCTGATGGCTAGTGAACCACTGCAAGGGTAGATTAGTTATGTCCGTATATGGGACTCTTACCGATGTAAATAAGATTTTTTTTAACAGCAGTGCACTGCCAAATCAGTTTTTGCTTGAAGTGGACAAGGAAGGAAATGTTCAATGTCCATTTCAGTATTTCTATTTTTCAGTATGTGGCCACTCGCACCTGTGTATTTGAACAAAAAAGTCACATCTGTGTTCCTGAGTGGACAGCTTTTTTTATGTTTACGTACTCATTATAGCAGTCATTGATTCGAAAATCAGAAAGAAATTTATATGGTTTTGCTCCCAATTTTCAAGTATCAACTTCTTGTGAGAGAAATGACAGCATCATGTCTCGGATGGCACTGAATGACAACAAGGCTGGAATGGACGGATTGGACAAGGAGAAGATTAACAAGATAATCATGGAGGCTTCCAAGGGCTCTAGGTCAGATCTTACTGAAGTTACAATTCCTCTCACAGTTGAAGCTGGATCCATTTATTTTGGAATTATATCAAAAGACCTGAATTGTAATTGTAATTGTTATTTTACTGTTGATTCAATATTTAGGTGATTTGTTAAATCCAATTTTTAAACCTATTATGGTTTATCTGAAACAAACAACTCTTTTTCATAGGTGCTTAGTTAGTTTTTGTGAAATTATTTGAGAGTTCAGTGATTTATGTGTATTTGATATTGACATATTTTATTGATATTGTTTTATTTGTATGATTGTGATACCCATGAATTTACTAATCTTTGTTTTTGCTCAGATTTTATGAAAACGAACGTAAGAAAGAGGCCCAGGTCAACCAGCGAATAGATCGCATGATGCAGCAGCTAGCCGGCATTACACAGCAACAGAAGGCTGCTGCGCTAGTTGAGGTAAAATTCCGGCAGTTTTCCGTATTTTTCCACTGCCTGTAATTTGCTTGTGTATCGACTGCTCTTTGTGGGTGCAGTAGCGTAGCTGAGGGGGGGAAGTGGCAGATGGGATAGAGATTTTTGAAGCGAAGTCCATATGCTGATCTATGAAATATCATAACAGCTCATGTCAACTCAGTCCAAAATATCCTGAATGCAGCATTTGAAGATTTGAAATGTTTCCTAAAGAAATGGTATGATAAAATTTCTGGTCTTGTTATATTTTGAAGTATAGTGTGTGAGGTGCTCTTAATAAATTCTGTATTATTTAATGATATTTAATGGTCTAATTCCTATCTGAATTTGCTGTTAAATTTCTGAAGTTGTCCTGGTCTGAGTTCTTACTTTGTTAAAGAGAGGCGTACAGACATTGTACAGTTTGATTCCATCCAGTCTGTTTGTCTTGATTCAGATGGATGCCATGATCGCTGAACTCGAGACATCCAGAGACTTGAGTCGCAGCATTGTCCACTTAGACATGGATGCCTTCTATGCTGCGGTAGAGATGAGAGACAACCCTTCCCTGAAGGACAAACCAATGGCGGTGGGCGGCATGAGCATGCTGGTAAGGTTTTGTCCCTGTTCCCTCCCTAAAACGTAACAGCACCAAAGTCTATAGCATTTTTATTCTGGTAATGAGAGGAATGTTGGATAAAACGTGTGTGGAATCTCTATGGCTAGCATATGAATTAGGGGTTTTTTACATGCCTTGTGAAGAACGGGAAGTGATAGTCCCCCAAATAGGTTTCCTTGGAGCAAAAATTCACGCCTTGGAGTGGACTGCAAGGTCCCTGTTCACCCCCCTCCTCCCTGGATTTGCCAGTAGACGGGTGGTGCATTTGCCCCCAGAAATCTGGATTGGTATTAAAGCCTGGGAGTGACAGGTGTTACCTCATGGGCACCTATGCCTGGTCCATGGTATCCAGACTTATTAAAGGACTGTTTCAATGGAACAGGTATATTTGGATTTGTAAGCTGGTGTCTTGACCATTGAACTTTATTTCCTGGCTCTATGAAATCTTTGAATGTACTCTTGCTTGTGGCACAAAGCATGAATTGCTTAAATTTGTCACTTATTGATAAAGTACCTTGTTAAGTTGACACAGAAAGTTGGAGAAGCCCTTGTTCATTTTCCTCATTGCAGTGTCACCTCGTATGAAATGACTGTTGCATTCAGTGTTAAGTACACGTTCATTTCCATATTCAGAGTACCTCCAACTACCACGCACGTCGGTATGGGGTCAGGGCAGCCATGCCTGGCTTCATTGGCAAAAAGCTGTGTCCGGAGTTGGTCATAGTCCCGACTAACTTTGACAAGTACCGGGCCGTCAGCGCGCAGGTCCGGGAAATCCTGGCCCAGTATGACCCCAACTTCTGCCCCATGAGCCTGGACGAAGCCTACTTTGACCTGACGGGCCACTTGGAGAGAAGGAAGGGCTTCTCGGAGGCGCAGAGAACCTTTGACTATAGGGACAGGAATCAAGAAGAGGATGGATGGAACGGAGGAGGCAGTGATGGAAGAAGGTGTGCTAACCTGTCCGGTACCCAGTACCCACACCAGGAAGGAGACATTGAGGATGTTAGGCGAGACGGTGCTGTCAGCAACAGAACTGGTGATGAAGACATTCTGCCATCAAGTAGACATCATCAGGATTTCTCTTCTGACACCAGTGCTCCATGCCTCTGTGTTGAATCAACTGATTCTTCTGACAATTGCTGCACAAGGTCTAGAGGAGAAACTGAGCGAACTATTTCAAATGCTGTGAAGGTAGCAACTTCTGGAAAGGGCAGACAATGTAGGACATTTGGGTTTACCATCGAAGAGGCAGTGGAGGAGATACGATTCCGCATCGAGCAGAAGACACAGTTGACAGCCAGTGCAGGTCATTATCCATAGTATCTAACCTTGTGGCACCGTCTAGGCTCCTAGCAAGATACTTTCTGTAATCTGTCCACACTCCTTTAATATAGGATTTCATAGCATTGGATGTTGAACTTACCTAGCTTTGACCTTGTCATGCAGGAGCTTTAGTTTGGGCAGTGTAGAAGTAAAAGTAAAAAGTCTTCCACAGTTTCTGTGGGCTAGAGTTTGTACAAGGATCGAGATAAATTTTGTTCACACTGTTGATATTCTTTCATGTACAGTTTTAAAATTTTGAACCATGTTGAGATTTTTTACAATGTTCTTGAGTTTTAACTTGGTTGCATTCTAGTCAAGTGACACTGACCCCTTCAACTGTTGATCATCACATGAATGTGAATCAAGTTGAAATCTTGGATGTGTTCTACATGTTCAACATAGCTATTTTGGATATTGGTTAAGGTTTTCAGCAACTACAGATGCCCATCTTTTGCCTCGATCCTTATTTCCAGGTATTGCTCCAAATGTCATGCTGGCCAAGATTTGCTCGGACAAGAATAAGCCCAACGGGCAGTATCGGATTCAACCTGATCGGGAAGCTGTCATGGAGTTTATCCAAGTGCTGCCAATTCGCAAGGTCACAATTAAACAATGTTCTGGGTACCTCTTTTAGATTTTGGTTATTTCAGTTAATGGGTTTGTCTCACAAACCTTAATTATGGTTCTTGAGTGTGAGGTCTTTCAGTCTCATCTTCCTTTATGATTCCAACCCATTTTACAAGACGGAGGTTAATTTCAGTTGTATGGTGTAGATATTCATTTGAACAATCATAGGGAGGTTTTTTGTTGTGGAGCTCTTCCCTCAATTTGAACATGGAGGCTATGTATTGTTGGCATCTTCATGGTGTCCCAGAGGCTGTTTTTGTTATTTCAATTTAATTACAAAGAATGCTCAAAAGGTTTGCTTGAGCCTTTCCCGGGGATACAAAATGTTTTTCCTCTGAGAACGCATTGATGTATAACTTCTATTAACTTAGTTTCATACAAAACATTAAATAACTTATCCATTGTGCCCAGTAATGCCAACTGGGCTGGAATCACCAGTTCTTAACTCACAATCCTTACTGGTGAAGAATCTACATGTACCCTTAATTGGTACAAATGCCACAACTCCTAAAACCCCAACCCTAACCCTAACCCTACCCTAATTAATGTTGTGTTGACATTCCAGGTGTCTGGGATAGGGAAAGTCACAGAGAAGATGCTGTCGGCTCTAGGGGTACAGACCTGCACTGACCTCTACCAACAGAGGGCTCTGTTGCACCTCCTTTTCTCACAGATATCTTCGCAACACTTTTTGAGGATATCATTGGGGATAGGCTCGACAAAAGTTGAAAGGTACATGTTGTATCCATTGAATTTGTGTTCCGACTTGGCTTGACTGGTGTATATAAGCAAAGCTAAATTATCTACACATTAATATGAACCTTTATGGAACGTTCATTTGATGTTATCAAGACATTTTACTGAATGAAGTTATAGATAATTAAGTACAGGTCTTTCCAATGTGTGTATTGGAAGAAGAGCCTGCAAATCTCTGTTTATTTACAAAGTTAAAATTGGAATGCTTTCAAATAAATTAGTCATTCAGAATTGGAGTTTGCTAATGGTTCCATTTTATAATGCCACACATTCAAACGTCATCTTCAAGGAGAGTTTGTTCTGATAGCAAATTCTGCCTCTGTTTCTAGAGACAGTGAGCGCAAGAGCATGAGTACTGAGCGGACGTTTGGTGAGCTGCACCGGCCAGCTGACCTGTACAGCAAATGTCATGAACTGTGTCAGGCACTGGCTGAGGATTTACAGAGTGAGGAACTGACTGTAAGTTAACCAGAAGAAACCAGGAAATACCGTGTACCTCCTCAGTGTAGTTTTCATAGAGTCGGGAGCAGAGCCAGTATGTTAGAAGTTGGTTGATTCTCTCCTGTGCCGCGAGGGTTTTTCTGTGGGTTCTCTGGGTTTCTTCCCCCTACAGCATTTCCAGTATCTGGCTGTGATCTGTGGGCAAATGTGGGTTGTTTGGCGACTGTTTAAAGGTGCCATCACTTGTCTATGGCTGGACTACATTGCTGCTGTGTACTTTGAATTTCAACCAAGAAAATAGAAATTTTTGAAATTGTTGTAAGCTCCGAGTTCCCTATCCATTATAGCAATGCCTAGCATATTGGCATCTTCACAGGATGAAACTGATGTGAGCTCTTCAGATAAAGTTCATTGAGAACTCAAGAAAAGTGAAGTGGTACGAAGAGTCAGGTACCTTTAAGTCTCTGGTCTGCTTTTCGCAGGGTAAGACAGTCACCATCAAACTTAAGACAGTCAAGTTTGAGGTCAAGACCAAAGCCTGCTCTGTTCCCACCTGCATCAGCTCGGCAGAGAGCATCTTCAGCGTGGCCAAGGATCTCTTGAGGGCCGAGATCAGTGCCTGCAAACCGGAACCGCTCCGTCTCAGGCTAATGGGTAAGCCCCATTGTGGCAAACATCCATGGCAAGGCTGTCGGAACTCCTGACAGCTGAAGTGTCTTCTAGGATTTGCAGATGGTGTTTGGAGGGAGACATGTCAGTCTACCTTTTGTGGATGTGGTTGTTTTGGTTCAAAACTGGACAAATATTCGCATCATTTATTGTTGAGTGAAATTTGAATTCTACCTTCCATACAAATGTGCACAATTATAAGTGTATTGATGACACAAGTGAGTAAAGACAGACTCATATAAAGTACTCCTTGCCGAATCCCAACTAAACCGATAGTGACGTCCTTAAACTTACGAAATTAACTTAAATTGATGAAGAAGACTGTACTGCACATGCTTGAAGTTCTTATGTGGAAGTACCAGGTTTGGTTCCATAAATACACTGGGAACCTAATACAGGAACCTTAATATTTACTGCCCCTCAGATTGGAAGCAAGGAATTCCGCTTAAAAATGTCATCTGCCAGGATGAAGGGAATGTGCATGCTATTCATTCATTACACAGCCTTGAAATTTGACACATGTAAAACCAACTTGTTCATCTGGATCAGAATAAAGTTCTTGCCATGTAAAATTACAGCAAAACTATGAAAACAATTCACATTTCACCCAACTTCACCCCAATATCCTTTGGCCGTACTCGGGATGATATAAGGCGTGATAATGCCAAAGGGAGACTTTATACCTAACTTGTACTTGTGTACTTTCTTTTCACCAGGGGTCAGGCTGTCTAATCTCCAACCATGCGGTGCCGCAACCAACAAGCAAGGCAACATCACAGAGTTCTTCAGGAAACAACGGCAAACCCCAGCTCTCCAGTCTCAACAGTTACCGAAGATGCAGCCGGGGATCAGCAACGGTGAGGAGAGACCAAAGTCGCAGAATACAGCAACCGTAAATATTTCGTCCAATTCACCTCACAAGAGGGTGGGAACTGACTTGGCCAATGCTGTATTGGAGCCCGAACTGTCCACATCCAAGGCACACATGGATGTTTCCGTCTCTCAGTCACATCCAAGAGACCTGGAATCATGGCAGCTGTCGGAGGAAAGGACAAGGGATGATTTAACGATTGCGGAAAATCACAAGCATACTGCAGAAACTGGAGAGGTTCCCAAGGGGTTGTTGGTTGCATCATCTGATCTGCTCTGTCCTGTCTGCAATGTCCCACAGCCATGCACTGACCTGGAGGCCTTCAATGAGCACGTGGACTTGTGTCTGAATCGCAGGGCAATACGAGATATGCTCAAACAGCAGGGTAAGTAAGTAGAAGAAAGTTTTCACGTGTTGTTTGTAGGTCTTTTCAGTATTAAAGTTCCGTTGCATTTTATTTTCAAAGAGATAATCAGAAAATATCTCAGGTTGACTAATGGCTAGTGTTTGCAACTCCCACTCACGGGGACAAGGGTTCAAATCCAGCGGCTGGAGGTACGTTGTGACCATGGGCAAGTAACTTTACCCTTACTTGCCGCCTTCCACCCTGGAGTTCAAATAGGTACTGATTAGGGTAGAGAAGGTTACATTTGAGTATCTGTTTGCATTGAAAATGGCAGCAATGAGCTGCATAATGAGCCAAGACGGTTTTTAGCAATATTTATGGCCTTGATACCCATAAATATATTCAGTGCCTCAGTCTAGTGTCGAGGGTAATTTAACCCTAACCCTCCTCAATCCTTCACCTGTTGGAGGACTGTTAGGGTTAAAGTGTACTTTATAAATAATATTATTTGACAATTGACAGCTTCTGAGGAGATGCCTACTACTAGCCGGAGTTCTACATCCCCAGCCAAAGGAAAAAGGTATGAATGGTAAAAAAAGCAAACAGAAAAGCTAGTACTAAAGATACAGTAAACTCCGACTAAGTCGGCATCGCCTAACCCGTCATATCGTCCAAGTCGGCTGTTTGACAAAACTCCAGATCGTCTGTAATGCATTCCCATTGAAAATTTCATTTCCTAATCGACATTTATAGGTTATCATGTCGTGTAAGTCGGCATGTTTTAATTGATCCCTTTGGTATAAGTTTCCTTCAACGCAGTTGCCAAGAAGTGCCAGCATGAGTACATCAATACCAATAACCCCTCTAGTGCTATACGCATGCGCTCTGTCCATTTGCTTTGTCCTTAGGGGCACATGATCAATTATCGAATTTGCAGTCCATGAGGATAATAAGCGAGAACGAATTTGCTGGGATCGACCATGGAGGTAGAGATAAACCAGGGTAAATCAAAGCCATTGAATTAGTGCAAAGAATCACAATGTACATGGGCAATACATGTGTACATGTTAAGTCGGCAAAATGACGACTTACAGCACAAGTCGGCATTCACGTAAGTCGTCATAATTTCTGGAGTCCTTAGAGTGCCGACTTAGCCGGAGTTTACTGTACTTGCCTCATTTGCTCCCTCTGTGAGACATGCTCAAGTACATGTAGAAATCAAAATCCTGTGACACTAGACTCAGTTTTTCTGATGAAAAATCAACTGATGGAATTTTCCTCCCGTAGCAGGAATGTTTGAATTTCAAGCTCACCATTCTGAAAGCTGAAATAATTTTATTTTCAGTGCTGTAAATAGATACTGAAGACACTGACTGCATTATATTCCAAGGATTTTGTAAATATCCTTTTTCTCGCTCTTGATACTGAAAGGTCTTTTGTGATATGATTGTTTTTCAGATTGCTTTCCTTGTAATTTCTGTTCCAAATTTGCTTTACAGGAGTTTGTCTGGCCCCAAGTCAGCGGCAAAACGACGCAAACAGGAGGTGACACAGACCAACACGCTGGACAAATTCTTCAGCTGATGTTGTGAGCACTTACTTCATTCATGTGGAAAAAACATTCAGTCAATTGAATTTCAGTCAGCACTGTTAATGATAGCCACAGCCTTAGAGTTGACAGGTAGCTCAAAGCTTACAAAAATGAGAAATGACGACAATATGAAAAATGTCTTAATAAAGTGTGCTGGACTTGCCAAAGTCCAATGAACTGTCATGCACTAAAAAATAAGCGAGGTCACTGAATGTGCTTCAGCTTTTTTTGAATGAGTTGTACAGATTTCTATGCAGTAACGAAACTGAATGAAAAGCCTGAAATATGTTGTATATTTGAATGAATTACAAAGAAGTGCAGGTGTAACCGAGGGAAATGTGTGATCTTGGAAGACAACACACTTCAATAAAAAATGCTGAATCTATGAAATATTGAAGATGGAACAAAATTGTGTTTTTAAATTGCCACTTAAAAACATAAAAATGAAGTCTCTGGTGACCTGATTCCTGTGTTAAACCATGGTACCTCATGGACAGACAGTGTCAAGGCTTTTACGACACGAGCATTTTTCTCTTTGACACGTGAAACTTCCAAGCAGAAGATGAACCACTACAAGGGAGATATGCCTTTAGGCTGATTCAAAATTCAGGTGAACGCAAAAGGAATGAAAATTGGACGTCATGAAAAATTTCCAGGGAAACTGCCTCGAACTGAAATGGGTTCAACTGGTGCGAATTACAGCGTGAATATTTCATCTGAGGTCACAAATTCACATTTATTTTTGCGTCAAGTATGAACCAGCCTTTCCATGGAACTGAGTTTGTTAATGAGACGTAGCCCGACTTAAAACCACACATCGCTCATGCTCTGCTTGATGTTGTCCCGGTTATCCCTCCTCGTCTCGGTCACAATCCCCGCCTCCCCCTTTGCCCGCCTCCGCCGCTGTTGGGCTTTCTGCTTCTTCAGCAGGCTCTGCTTGACCTTTGCCCTGACCATGGATGAATCCATCGTAGAGCGGGTGGTAGCGCTGGAGGTCACACTGTCGCTGCTGCGCTGCCGGCTGTGGTGGTTGACATGGGCCAGGCTGGCTGCGTCCCGATGGGGGCGGTACTGCTTGTTCAGGGTGGCAATGTCTTCCAAATCCTCATACGGACACTGCCTGTCAGCTCCCAACTCCGCCTCCTCCTCACTGTCGCGGACTCCGCCCACTCTGAGAGCCTTACTTTCCTGTGCTTCATCCACATATTCCTCCCCACACGCATCAACAAACCTCTCGGCCTCATCTACTAGTTTAGGTAGTGGATCAACGCAAGTCCTTGTGGATTCCTTTGTGGAAGTGGCGGCATCTTTTTCGTCTCCAGAGGAGAGCTCCTCACCGCTACTGTCACCTTTGGGATTATTTGTGTCTGTCTCCTCGTTGCTGTCCTCTTCCCGTACTCCCTCTGTGGCCTCTCTCAGAGCTGTTGTCTCCTGAATTATGGTGAATATAAAAGTTGAATAAAGAACGTTGTGCTTTGCTACAACTTAGGACGTACACAAATTATTTGACTTGCACAAATAATTGAAGAAAAAAAGTCAGTTTTTCGACAAAGCTGGTAACCTCAACTTAAGAAATACATATAAAGATTGTTTTCTATGAGGTGTTTAAAAGAGACAGAAACTGACCTCTTCAAATGTTTTCTGCATGTCTTTTGTGAAGCCACTCGCTGAGACATCAACATCTAGAGAATTCTCCAGACTGGAGAGAGAAAATAAAAACTGGTATTATTGAAGCGTGGAATGCATCTACAACATGGTGTCGTAAATTCACTCCACTGATTTTCACATTTTTAGGTAGCTCACCAGACATCGGAGAACTTGGGATACAGCTCGCTCTCATACTGAAAACGTCGGAGGAAGAAATCGCGCACACACTGAACGTCCCGATCAAAATACCTAGAGAAAATAGAAAGTACACCAGTTCCTGTATTTTCAAGATTTATTTTTCGCTTTGGGGAGATGTTAATTTTTAATTTTTTTTCCATTTTGTTCCATTGCCTTGCTAAGCCTTCACTTATAGACCCGTCCTCATTGAAACCAGTGGGAAATACTGTCAGTGTTCACATTTCATTTCCAGTGGACAGATCATTTCAGTAGAAATTGAAAAGCATTTCAGAAACGTCACTAGTAAATACATCTCAGTCCACAAAACTTTTCCTATGTCACATTTTTCATCCTTTTGTCACCTACTGCAAAATGACCTTACACATTTCTCAGTATCTGTAAACAGATTACAGACTTTGGCCAATGAGACCCTGCAGGCATATCAGAATTGTTACCATCAAGAGTTACATTTCTGTTCAGTGTATGACAACTACTGAGATAGTTGCAAGTTGGTGGTGGCCATCCGAGGTGCTGTAGTTCAGTACATCATAATTCACTCCACAAGTCCTTTCATGAGACCAGTCGTAAGTAACGGTGAGATATGACAGAGGAATGCTATGGATACATTCATCTGAAGACAAGTCTAAATGTATTTAGATGAATGTGACCATAGCATTCCTCTCGACTGGATGAGTTGCACTGGACTTGATTACATCAGTATTAAGTCCTGGGCACACAGTGACAATGGGGAACTCACATTTCAGCATTGCTGTGAGACGTGGACACCATCTGGGGGAAGTCGATGAGTGTGACACGATCCTGGTCATCCAGCATCAGGTTGAACTCGTTGAAGTCGCCATGGATCAGACCATGGCTGGCTAGCCGCATGATGAGATTCATCAGGTCGTTGTAAGTGGCCGCGGGGTCGGCAAGATGGTGGATTTGGTTCCTGACAAGAGAGGAAGATACCCATCTTGTTCAATTATTCTATTCAATAATCTGGCTAGGGAGGGTCCGATGCTCCTCCCACCCCATGTGCCGAAGATCCACATTAATCCCAATACATTATAATGTTACTAAAACAATGCTGTCAACACATCCACAATTCTTAATTTTCAGGTGTAATTAGCTATTAATTAGACACAATGTGCTCCACTTCTTGGTACACATAACCCTCCCCGCCCAACACACTGGCTATGGCCCAGATTAAATTATTGAAATTAATCACCATCCTAAAGCACCATTGTATTTAAAATGAGAATCACCGCAACCGACGGATTCGTTTTCCCGAACTTGTTTGGTGCAGATTTTTTCCAGGTAAACAGCAGCTTATCTACATAAAGGCAGCCTTTGTAGGAAAGAACTCTTTATGGAAAGTTACTAATCAAGCACATGTACATGATTACTGTTCAGATTTTTTTTCCAATAAAGGGCCCATTCTGAGCGGATGTCAACATCAGCCAAGAAACTGAAGTCAAGAAAAAACCAAATTCGAAGTTGCCTGAGATTTTAAACATTTATGTAACAAATTTGTCAAACAGTGCCCGTTTCTTACAGTGGATACGCATTCATCAGCTCCATGACTACACAGTGTCTGTTAAAGTCTATTGGTTTTGGAACAGGAAAACCATGATCATGCAGGGCCTGTAAAGAATGACAGAGAATACGAAACATTTTGTAAAAGTGAAATTGAATCCATGCTAAAGAAATTTCATGTAAGTACATGTATATTTCAATGATGCATATGTCACTGTCTGGACTTGACAAAAATCTGTCTGTGCTGACAAAGCTGATGATCACTCGATGATCACTCGATCGCTCAATGATCACTCGATGATCGCTCCTGTAATATGCTAACATTACATAAAAATGCCCCAAACATCACATCACCAGAAATTAAAATTGCAATCATACATCAGTCCAAACCGTCTCACATCCTTCATGATTCAGCAGGTTTTTGGAGTATCAATATACACCCAAGCTATCATTACTTCATGTGGAATTTCCTTCAACGTGCGTCTCCCCTCCTGCACAGTGGAGGACTTTGAAGAAAAAAAAGATACAAAAACTCCTGGCCAAAAGGGCAGGGGAATCGGGTCATACATAATAAAAGTATCATCCCCACCTTTAATGGAGGACGCAAAATTGAGAATTTTAATACCTTCATGAAAGCATATTCTTTCATAGCAGCCAGTCTGGAGAGGTAGAGCCAGGAGGCGTTGCGTCGCTTGCCGAGGTAATCCCGCTTCTCCTTCAACTTACGGAAGGATGTCCGCCCCAGCCTGAGGGAAAAAACAAACAACTTTTGTAGAAACATAACACGTACTGTTTTTTTCTCTCCTTGGGATACAGTTACCTTTCAAGAGTGGCTTCTCCAACTGTTCAGGCATGATTTTGTTTTTAAAGGTCGGACTGAAGAAACTTTGCCCAATTTTTCTTTCAACACAATGTCAATTTCGGATGGACACTTTTCGCTTGAACGTGGTTGGTGTTGCCTGACAATGAAGGCAATGCTGAATTTCTGAAATCCTGTTTTTCAACTATAGCTTGTGTTCTTAAATTCACAAAAATGAAAATAACAAGAACGCAGGCACATGTACCTGTGCAATTTCAAGGCCAGTTGCTCCCCATCGTCATTGGCAACAATGTAGATATCTATTAATGGGTGAAATGAAAAATGCTACATCTATTATTCAAGTGCAAGAAAAGACTTTATGAAATATTTATTTGTTCTTCACATGCCCGTCTATGGAGCAGGGCACCACATGAATGAAAAGAGTTCTGCTTGACAATAATTGGCTTAGAGTAGGATCCTCAAGGCTGCAAAAGATTCACAGGTTTGTTGCCAATATCTGGACTAAGTGCCAACAGATCAGCAATGGGTGGCAGGTTTTGACTCATTTGAATAGATTTAAATCACAGACACAGAGTTGTGTGTATAAACGCCCGTATTACACCTTCCACCACAATTCAACACTTGTGTGTAGAAACATGAGCTGTCAAAGAGCATGGGCAGCAAACCAACTATGTACCAATCCGAGCCAATGTATGTTTTCGTTCATCTCAATCGAGAGATTCTCCCAGATGATCGGGCCAACACAAAATCACAGCCCAAACTTGCCAATCTTATCCAAAGTCTGAAGCAGACTGGTGATTGTATACCGTAGGAATTTCAATGACACTTTAGTTGAAAATGCTTTGATGCATACCTGATTCCTTGCCTACTCCGATTTGGTTGCCCACTGACGCGAGTACATTCCTCGCAGCGAGGGCTTTCAATGCCAAGTAGTCATAGCCAGGGTAGGTCAGCCGATAACCTGGATCTGGGAAGAAAATAAAACAAGCATTGAACTCTGAAAGGCCGTCCACTATTCTCAAGGGGAAAGAAGCTGCTCTGAACAGAAAGGCTGCATTTTAACCACTTCGTGCCGGTGGCAATTATCAATGTTGATAATGCTGGGGTAGGATAATTACCGGTTTTTTTTTCTGTTTTCAAAATTCTTTAAAAATTCTTCATTTACTTGACACACCCACACGAAGGACTGTCTGGTTTCTACTCCAATCTGACAGACAACAGCTATTGATGCTGGAGTATTTCAGCCAGGCCTGCTGCCTGATAAAAAGAGCCCACATTGTGTGGTGTTATGTAATTTTCTTTTGTTCACAAACCTGGCACAGTGCGCTGCTGACCTCTTTTCAATGGGGGCCAGATTAGCGTGCAGCGGTACTATGTGGCTCATCGCTGCGGTGGTGGAGCGCTTTCGTTCCCGGTGGTAATTCCCTCTTGCTAAAACCCCCAAACCATGGTATACTGTTTCCAAACAAGGCTGGATTATCTCCACTATTGAGACTGAAAAAATGTTGGTAATGCCCAGCAGCCAGGTCTTTTGTTACAAGGCCAAGTTCCCTCTGTCCGATTTCGGGGACCTTGGCCACGCATATAAAAAATATGTGTCCGGTACCAGAAACCCTGGCGGCAAGTTTTTTTTTTTTAACAAAAACAAAATCCTCTCAACATGACGTCGCATTTAAAGACAGAGTCCCCTGAAACCCAACACCACTTGATGCAATAATTTAACTTTCTTCTGAAAATGACACTGGGATACCAATTCTAGACACATTTGGACACTTCTGCATCACTGTGCCAGTGAAACGCAAGCGAGACAAGAAAGTGGATTTTGAAATGAAACTGGTAAGTAATGCGTCAGTCGAACTTCTCTATCAGAACAGCTGACTGACCTACCTGGCTGGATTTAAATGCACTTTTTGAAGTCAAAAAACTAGTTCTACTTCTGGTTACGTGACTGATCCTAAATTTTTGGAATGACTGTAAAATTTTTACATGTATCGGTGTAAGTTAGAAAAACACATTTAAAAATTTTAAAAAAGGAAACAAAATCCTTTCTTTCTTTTTACAAAACACCTCTCAACATTTTTTTCACATCTAAAAGCTTGTATTTTTTGTCTGCCTGCTTACATTCACAACATTTAGAAAGCAAGTTCTGTTATTTTCACAAGTTTCCTTTGCATTTTGCTATCGCAATGGTGAAAACACGCACCCAATATTGCTCAGTGCAAAGAAGCAAGGCTTCACGGGTTCGTGCTGCTCTGGGCCACTGCCAAAGAAGGCGTGGTAACGCAGCGACCAGTCCATGCATCCCAGTCAAAATAGTGTTGTACAATTCACCGTACATACACGCAAGTCTACAGCTGCACATCGGAAAAAATGATGACGCAGGAAGATTTCTAAAAGTTCATTTGTTGCCTATATATGTAGTTTTGGTGTTTAATTTTTGGTCAGAAATTTAACTTGAGGTTATGTTGCTTGTACATGGCAATCAGCCCGATGTGAACTCAACGTGACATGAGCTAAAGAGATTTCATTGGTTTTTGTGAGAGATAAAGTTAAACTGGCATTGTTAGAAAATGATACCAGCCAGCATATCAGTACTCAGGTTGTTTGCACGTCTGAACGACTGTGCAATGAACAGACCGTCGTGCCGTGCACTACTGTATGTGGCACACGAGCCTGGCGCATGATAGCAGGCAATCACGGCCGCGTGTACTGTGGAATTATACCATGAACTCAAGAGTGCTGCAATGGTGATTTGAAACACAAGTCGTAAAATGTGATGACAGTTTTGAAAATATGGCAATGTTCCTCAAATGATCACTGTCCTGCCAGGCCATCGTTTTTGGAGAATGTAGTGGCCTGATGAAGTTTTTGGTGGCCCCGGGCAAGCGGACCAACGTTAATTTTGACCCCTGCTTACAGGTACCGTAATTTTCAGAACACAAGCCACGGGTTATGTCGATTCTCACACTGAAAAATTTCTCTGCGGCTTATACGCTGGGCGGCTTATACGTCAAACTTTGAAAGATAACTCAGTAACAAAAAGCCACCCCCGAACCATACATACATGTACCACATGCAGGTGCCGCAGTCATGTTTTTGTTGGTTGCCATTTACATCTGAAAACTCGAACTCTGGAGAATAATAAAAATTCAAGTTGTCCAGATTTCGAGTTATTAATGGAATTGCCTGAGTCATGGAGTCCCGAAACACATACCTGAAATGTGTACTTAATCTTAAAATTTACTTGTCCTTTGGCAAGATTCTTTAGTGATTATTTTCCCGCTTTTTATTAAATCTCTTGGTGTATTTTTTGCAGACGAATAATCATTTTACTCAGATTTTTTTTACTGTTTTACTGTTGTAGCCTAAAGATTTCTTTCTACCGTTAAATAAAAATCAACCGCTTGAGTGGCGTACCTTTGTGTGGCAGATCTTTCGTCTTTCGCCGATCGTGTTCAGTGTGACATGCCACAAAATTTGGGTTTTTTTTTCACTTGGGTTTTCTGATGACAACATTTTCTGTGGTCACGTGGTTATCAGAAAGAGTCAGCGACTGGATTGTCCATGAATGGGTCTGCGGTAGCAGTCAGGCTAACCTGAAAACAGGGTTTGTGTGATCGAGGTGGTGCGTGCGGTACGTGTGTGCCTCACATGTGCAGCATGCGTGCAACACAAGCGGTTCTACCCGGTACAGCTTCTACGCCCACTTTTAATTTTAATTTGCCAATTTTTGCGTGATGCGGTTTACACACCGGGTGGCTTACATTCCAAAAATTCAGTACCTTGGTTCCAAATTTCCATTCTACTGGTAGATGTAGATGCACACCATTTAAAACACTTCTGTTGTTACAATGCATCTGCCATAACTGGGGAGGGGCCCAATATCATTCGTACTTCTTGACAGAGAAAATCTCGCTGAGCAAATTTAAATGATAGCAACTCATAAGCGATGCCCCCAACTGTGACTTTTTGGCTAGTAACCCATTTTTGCTGAGACAACATTTCCAAGTCAGTGGCTGTATGGAATCGGCCTGTTACGACACTGAGTACAAGGGCTTACATTTGCCGTGTTCCCAGGCAATCAGCTTGTTGCGCACCAGCTCCTTCAAGAGCTTGTAACAGCCACCGTGTCGGAGGTTGGCGATGGATGCAACCAGTGACCCCGGCACAATCTCATGATTCTTCATTCCCATCTCAAGCTAAAGATCAAGGTTCAAGGTAAAACAAAAATTACAAAATAAATAACTTAGATCTCACCAAGTAAATTCCTTAAATGACTGCTGAATTAAAGTCACTCTATATATTCTGCTCTGGTAAAGAATCAGGATTTCACCAGACTCTGTGCGGTTCTAGACCAATTTGGAATTATTCACACAAGATTGGTTGGGGACTAAAAATTTCTCCCACAAAATTAAGTTACAATTATAGAGGGTTTAGGATCTGTAAATTCCACCCCCCAAACACTTCAGAAAAGTTCACTGGATGTAATTCCATGCCTTTTGTTTTTGTTTTTTAAATGGGAGATGTTGGGATTTTCTCCCATTAACCTATTCAGCTAGTGCAACTTAGTTACTGATACAATGTTGTAGGCCGATTTGAAGTTGTGTTATCGGGTTTTGGCTTAGACTGTAAGTTATACTAATTTTTTAAACTAAAGCTACACGTACCAACCCGACCAAAGCACAGGCAAAGGGCCAGACCAACTGTGTTAGATCAATGCATTTTCCTTCATCAATGGTCAGAAACACACAAATGGAGCTAGGGCCTTACCGCAGAACTGGGCTTCTGAACCCCACAGTTTGGGGGGGGGGAGGGGGGAAACTAGGTCCTAGTGAAAGAGTTCCACAGCGTATTACTACATGTATATATATGGACAACACAAATTTTCCCTTACAATGTTACAACTGCTGTCAGAAAGTGATAACATGTCCTAAAAATAAAATTTTAGGCCTAGTTGAGGAAATTCCAAAGCACTTTCTAAGAAATCGTTTTTCAAACAAGTCTCATAGTTTTGTGCACTGACCCCAGAACTGTCAGAACCCACAGTTCTTGGGGTACAGGGCCGCACCACAGGGCCTACCCACATACATGTACATGTACACTACATGCCGCACATCAATTCATGCATCAGCATGTAGAAACATCTTACTAAACTCAGTCATGTAAGTAACTGTAGTCTAATCCAACTTACGGCGGTCAGCACGCGGAAATCTTCCCGAGACAGGTACCGCAGCATTGTAACATTGAGCTTGCCCATGCCGGACTCACAAAAGATCAAAAATTATACACGAAAAACGAAGGCCAGGCGTCAATTCATGGGACTTCCAACACCATGAGTTGAACACTGCGTAAAGCATGTAAAGCGACAGCATGCATGCAGCATGCAAGATCTAGCTAGCACACATGGCATAAACTTGTGGTGCGATGATTTTTCACTCACGACGTATACAGGTATAGCGCCGCCTTGCGGCGCTGCACGACATCTACGATCTTTGTACGGAAGCATCTTTAGGACATAATCCCCACATTATTGCCCATTCGCCCGGAGCATGTTTCGTCCAAGTGCATGAGTAATTCGCCCGTTAGGAATTAATAGTATTTTGATTGGTGGTTCAGTATCACACCCAGGTGCTAAAAACTTTTGCCGGGCATATTTTCATTAATTTATCAGTTTATTAGATTACTATTTCGCCCGGCGGTGTAGACGGTAAATCTGTCTCCTGCTGGTATGATTGTCGGGGGGGGGGGGCACAGACTATGTGAAAATGTACATTTGTACACCCCACGTACACCCCTCACATAAGAAATTGGAGAAAGGAAAAAAAATCTTCTGAAAGTCCGTTCGAGTTTGCAACGCGAAATCTGTCGACCCAATGCGTATTTGGAAATGGTCGACAAACTTCGTGCATTGTGATTGGCCAACGCCCTGCATACTCTTGGAGGCGCACGATTGTGAATTGCCCCTATTGGTGGGGGACGGGGAGGGGAGACTATTTGTCCCCTTAACCTTTTCATGAAACTAAATAAAGTGACGTGACAGAGGGCGCTAGTCACTTGGCGCGGTGCGAAATTATCATAGACATAAATATCTATGTCTGTGGAAGTTATAGATGTCGCTCTGCGGCCCAGTAAGCTAGAGAGGCAGATGTTAGGCGCGCATAGCTGTGTGTTAAGCGAGCGCAGCGCATAGGCTGCGCCTTGTGTGTAGTGCGATAGGGCAGCGAAAGTCACTGCTTGGTCACGTGAGAGCGTACGCGGGCGTGGCCACAGCAGCGCGAAGGCTATATAAAGCGCGGGCAGGATGGAAAGGGGAAAGTCACTAGCCTGGTGTGACTGTGCTTAAGTCCCAAGTGGTTTGTGTGTCGTTGAGGGGCTCGGTAGGTTGAGGGGCTAATTGGTGGTGCGTTACATATAGTTCCTGATAGGAGCTTGCGGTCGATGCAAGGGCGGATTGCTATCTCGTGACGTGAGTTGCGTGTAGTGCAGCCGTGACAATAAGCCCCGTAGACTTGCTAAAGTCCCTGATTCGGCACTGGATGCCCACACTTAATACGGGCGATTCGCAATAGTGCGCCACCAAGAGTTTGCAATGCCTTGGCCAATCATAATGCGCAAAATTTGTCGACCCTTTCCAAACACGCATTGGGTCGACCAATTTCTGGGCGTAGTCCGGTCACGTATAATCACAGTCCCCTTCAATTGCGCTCTCTGCTGGTATATTTGTTGACTGTGTTGATGAAAAAACCAGCCGCTTGTTAATTGTTGTATATAAGTCAGGCGTCCAGGCGAAGTTTATTTCAAGTCAGATCTGTCCAGGTAAGTTTCGACCAATCAGATTAGCCATCATCTCGACGAAGACCAACTTTCTTGGAGGACGCCCAACAGACTCGTCCCTAGCCGCTCAGGGACTCTCCAGCGTGCCGTGCGACGCGCCGCGAGAAGGAGGGCGCCCTCTCCCTCGACGGAGGGGCGCGGCGTCACAACAAAAAAATCTAGGGTAAATAGGCCTACAGTCGATTCATTATTATGATAAAATAAAAATTGGAAAATGAAAAAGCCCTGCAAGCCTGCAAGATCAGAGCATGTGCTTTAAAAAATAGTTGAAGAGGTGTGACATTGCCTCAGGTTGTACCACAAAACATCACTTCAGACTCCAAATTTCCTTAGACCATTATTACGTGTTAGAGTTGCTAGAGTTTTGCGCTTCACGCTCGCATTAGTTCTTTGCCCCCCCCCACTTTTTAAAAGCAAATAACGCCCTGGCCCCCTGCAAAATGTGCCCAGGTTTTAAGGCACTGTTGCCCAGGCGAAATAGTAATGTCCTTTGCGAAATATTCGGCCCAATTTTTTTTAATGCCATGTCCTAAATATTCTTTTGTAGAATTGAGCTTAAAATAGTATTTATTGAATCAACACAAGAGCCTGTCAGTGCAGTGGGATTGTGTAACCCATTTTTGGGATGATAAATTAATGTTATCACGTGCCTGTTCAGTTTTTCGTTTATTTCCCCCATATTTATGAAAGGAAAAGGTAGAGAAGAGCCCTGTACCAATTACAGTTTTAGAATTTGTAAAGAGAAAATGGAAAAGCGAAACTATACCACTTACTCTTTTGACAACTCATCTGATAAGAAATGAAAGAAACAAAGAAACAATGAACGTTTACGGTTTTATAGTCAGTTTTTGGAAAAAAGGAAAACGTTTCGAATTAGAGTATTCATTTTAAAAATGCATTTGCCACAAAACGAACAAGAAACCATTTTCTGTTCATAACTTGAATAAAAACCCACAACTCGTGATAGGTTTGTTTACAAAATACAGAAAAGATTGTATTACTTAATTTCTTTTCTAGCACAAACATGACAACATGAACATTTACAGATAACGACAAACGCTTTGCCAAATCAAAACATAACAAAAGGTAACAGTCAAATGGAAAACGAAACTCCTTATTTAATTCAAGGGGAGGGGTTATATATCCTTCACCCGCGGCAAGCTCCCGGGACACGAAAGCAGCAGTAATGATGAAACTGCATATGAAAAAAGGAAGTACAAAAAACAACATCATCAGTAATAGAGACTTAGAAGGACCTTCCTTCTAGTGAGGCACATCATGGAGCTATAAAATTTGTATAATTGTGTTTCGGTGATTACTGTACACAGTTTGGTTCTGCTGTATTGTGAACATGTGTAACAAATTTTGAAAGCACTGTTTAGCAGGTTTTTCAAAATATTGCAGATGTGTTTAAAACTTTCAGTTGTATTTTCTGATGGATTTTTCCTACTGAACATAATCCAGGGAAACCTTGTCCAATGCTGCGGTATATCGATTGGTCATCAACGACCTTTACACACACAACTGATTTGTTACGTTTGTTACACAAACGACCGTGTCCTCGATTACTTTTTTCCTTTGGATTTCAATAATAGCGACCTCAATAGTTCATAGATCGGCAGTCAATAAACCTTCACTACGGGGGCCTACACTAGACACAGTGCAATCAGGTTTTCGATCCCAATTTAGAATTTATTGCAAACTTGATGGTGAAAGCACAAACTTCAAGGCACTTGATCAGAAATCATTTATTTATGATAATCTTAGCACTTTTCATGAAAATCAAAGCACTAAATATCACTTTAACAAGCAGTGCATACACTTTCGCTGAATTTGTGAGTTATCTTGTATTCTCTCTGTGGCATAAATTAACAAGTGTATTTTGGGGACGGGGGATGGCCCTCTCTTTGTCTCCCACAGGTGCGACAGTGGCTTGGCTAAGACTAGGCTCAAAAAAAAGGGGGGGAGAAGACGGTGTTGCGAATTGTCCAAATTCGGGCTAGAAAAAAGTAGTAGAAACGTTAGCCTCGATCATGGGGGTAAGCCTCGTGAGACCTGAGAGCTACCTTGGCTATCTGCAATATAGCTTGTCGAGCCTTGATAAGATTGTAAACGCATGGCGTCAAAAAGCCCCTATTTTTGCCGCTGGTTTGAAGTGCTTCTCTACTTTTGACGTTTAATTGTCCTTGTATCCTGCATCTGCTTTTAAGCATTAAATTTTTTTCTTTAAGCGTGCATTCGGGGCCCTCGTGCTCTGTCCGATAAGGTTTTCGGCCTTGATCGGTCATTTCCGGACATCCTTTCTATGACGTCATACCTACTTTCGCCATTGCAACAACATACACACGGGCACTCTGATCATCAGTGCACTGTACAGTCAGTAACAGCTAGCAGTCCATAGATACAGTAGTGCACGGCATACAGTACATTGTACGTACACACAAGAAACTGAAGCTGAATTTTCTGGTATCACGAAAGTATCCAATTGGACCTTTTTTTGTGTTGAAAAACGGTAGGCAAAAAATCTTCAAGACGGTGGAGATGGCCACAACACCACCGTCTGCTGCCTTGCGGGCGCTGAGTTTAGAACTGAGGAAAATTAACGATGAACCCGTGGAAGGTTTCAAAGTAACTCTTCCAAATGAGGCGAATCTCTTCGAGTGGGAAGTGGCGATCTTTGGACCACCGGAAACGCTCTACGAAGGGGGTTATTTTAAGGTATTTTAAACACATTTAATGCTAGGCCTAGTTCGATTTGCATGTGTTTGTGGTTGAGGAAAATTTTTCCTATTTCATGTCCACATGACAGTGGTGTCAATGTCAGTAATGATGGTCTTTAATTTCAGGCTTAGGCCTAGTCCGAGTAGCTTGGATCGAACAAATCGCCTTTTTTAACATTTGCCATGATTTGGAAATGGGCCTGACTATGTCTAAATGTTTAAAAAGGCGATTTTAAGGATCAAAGTTACTCGGACTAGCTTAAGCCTACCGGTATATTTTACTAAAAAATCCACTAAGGCTACAATCCTGGACAAATCTTGTTGGAACAGGCCTCCCCCCTCGCCCCCTGTCAATGTTGTTTCTCATCGGGTAAGCTGGGCTTAATCTTGGTCCAATAAATGACCGCAACATTGAATGGAGGAGAGGGGGATCTTTTCACCGCCCTTTCCACAAGGTGTTCCAACTATTTTGTCCAGGATTGTAGTCTACATGTAATTGCACTAAAACGATCATCACAGTGCATAGAAGTGCTTTCATATTAATTACTGTCAACACACCGTCAACACGCAAGGGACCGTCAGCAGACCGTCCACACAGTGTCAACACTTCCAAAACACATTAAAAATCAAAAGAAGCAGTACTCGACTGTAAAATGTTTGCCAAAAAGATATTTTGGCTAAACCTCCACAGGTTAGACTCAGGAAAATTGCCGTTTTGATTTGGCCTAATCGCCTCCTTTGAACCAGCACTCAGAAGTCAGCAGCCATGTTGCCTCTGGGACAACTGGGACCACAGCATTATGCTAGAGGGATGTTGATATTATGTGATAAAGAAACAATGTTTTTTCCTTTAAAGTTCTTTATTTTTCATTAGATTGAATAATTGTCCCCTCTGTATTTTAACAATAACTGTGTTGAATAAAATCTATGATGTTGAAATAAATAAAATCTATGATTGATTTTTACTCTCTTTTAAAGTATTTAATTTACAGCATATCCACACCAAATGGTACAGTCTAAGCTCCTCATAAGGAGGCAAGATGGTGGCAGACAGCTACATGTACGTTGCTAGGGATCATTTCTTTCGTGTAAAAACAACACTCCATTTTGTAAATTGATTTGTGACCTCCAACTTTTGGAGAGTCTCTTTCAGCCCAAGTATTATGCTTCCATGCCTCTTTTGTACAGTTTGTAGATTGAACTTGTATATTTGGGAAGTTGATGCTGAGTTGACGTTACTATAGTGTGTTGATGGTGTGTTGACGGTAATTAGTAAGACCCTAGGAGTGTGCTGGTGTGGTAGGGAGAGATGATTGGGAAGAATTCCATGTACATGTATGAACGTTACTCATTGGGGATCGTGAATTTGATGACCCCCCCCCAAGTTTTTGTCATTTTAATCCGTGCAAAACTGGTCATTCGCCCCAGAAACTTAAGGCAGCACTGTCTGAACTGCCCTGACCATTTTTTTTGAAATTTCACGTTGTAAATTGTGAGAAAACATGACTTTCCAACTGATAAACCAGCCATGCAAATTTGACTCCACCATGTGTCATGTGTTAACACCCATAGTTTCCCCTCATAATTTCCCTCAAAATTCAAAACCCTGCCCTGTTTTCACAACATCAACCCTACAGTTATTGAGCATGATGTCATAGTCATCTCCTGAGGGGAATCCAAAAGTCAAAATGCAGGTCTCCCTTCTGTTATAGGAACAGGGTCCCCAAATTCACAGTCCCCCACTCATTTTCTCTGCACAGTAATTTTCATCCATCAGAAAGTGGTAATGTGTCCCAATTAGTCAGACGAAGTTGGGAAAATAATGAATCATTTAGGCCGACATGTCCCTGTAGGCCCACTTAAAAAACACCTGGAAGTTTTCAGACCAGTCTCAGTAATCATTATGTCCATTGTTACAAGTAGCAGCGGCGGAACAATTTTCCAAGGAGGAGGGGCAGTTGTGAGATGATCAGGTATCAGTCATTAACCCTAATCCCCTAGGCTTGTTTTGCAAGGGAACCTCCTCAGTCCTTGAGAATCCTCCAATTTGGGTGGGGAACAAATTGGATTCTCTCTCAATCCTCCAAAACGGCCCAAAAGATTTTGGAGGACTGAGGAGGGTTAAAGGTTAAAAGGCCAATCCATTAAGCCCCACCCCATTATAAGCCCTGCAAAAAGTGGGGGGGAGGCATGTTTCCAAAGTTGAAAAAGAAAAGGGGGGGGGGTTGCATAGGCCAGGGCCTGCCCTATGGTGTCAGGTGATGTCTTGGTATAGAACTCTTTCCAGATGACCATTTCGTACTCAGTAATACTTTTCAAATATTTTCAAATCTGTTATTTATCACAGAGTTCCTTGTCTCTTTGCATAGAGTATAAACTGCATACACGTGCACGTGTTCATACTGTATGTTAATATGTTCATTTCATGATGTTAGGACCGTAAGTTTCTTTTTGATCGCTCGGTTGTTCCTGTCTTGATTTACAGTTTTGATTACCTGACACTGGGAGTTGAACCTGTTGAAAAAGAAAAGTACATACGTGTACATATACAGTGTGTACATGTAATACCGGTACTGTACTGTATGTACATGTACATGTACTGTATGAACACAGCTCGTTCCCCATCTGATAGGGAAAAAAGGACAAAACAGAGCAGTGGATGCACATGTATGTGGCTGGTTCTTGGTCCATATACGTGTACACCAGTACATGTACTTCTGCTTTTGCTTTGCTACAGGTGTTGAACTTTGCAGTAGCTGTTTTGGTGACTTAAAATCTAAATAATAAAAAATTAATAAGAACACTCACAATGGTTCTCAAACGTGGGCCCTCATTTCATCTCAGGGGACAGATCTTGTACTGCATGCCTTAATTAACCACTCGGCCATGCAATCGCTTGATCACGAAGAGTGAATTTATATGTAGTTACTACATGTATATTGATCAGATTCAGTTCAGTGTTTGCATTTAAAAAAAATAAATAAATGCAACAGCAGCGAAATGTACATGTATGTACACAAAATTTGCAATTGTAATTGCAGTAGTAAACAAAATTTCAGTTGGTTAGCTAGATTCACAACTCAAAAGTTGAGGGCTTTTCTCTATCTATTGACTTGGGACTGGCAATTGTGACCCACTTCTGCACGAGCAACACGTACCGTACGTTATAGTTACACGTACACATGCATGCATGTACATGTATCATGCATGATATTATGGAAGTGGATTGATAGCACATGGTATCCTTCCAAGATGTAATCTTTGCTTAATATCAATAATTGATGCATGGTAGTAAAAAAAACCTGTCAAGGCAAAACGTGCACATGCAGTAAAAAGTGGTCTGTACTGTAATCAGTATTTCAAAGCCATAATCATTCTACTTAGTCCAACCGCCCCAATTTTCAAGTTTCATTAAAATTATAAAAAACAAAGGTTCTGCTTTTATTTTAAGGGATTTTAGAGAGGATATGGTCTTCTACTGTATTCATATGGTACATGTACACGTACTAGTAGCTTCTCCCATCAATTCAGGAAATCACTTGATTTTTACATGTACAATGTACATGTATGTCATCAGATGCGTGCAGTAATTAAATTCAGAATTACCCATGCTCAAAAAGAGATTTTTCGGACAAAGATCTTCCTTTTGATATCATTGCAGTTTGAAAAATCTTACTGGTGCTGTTAAATGAAGGCATCATTCAGTTTGATCTTGGTGATATCCTGATACAGGAAGGCTTACGTTATTATTATTATTGTTATTATGACTGGTTTATTAAAAAACTGGCAAAAACCAGCCCAAGGGCTGAATTATAGCACAGTCTTACATGTACAATAATTACAAAAAGGCAACAGTGAGATACATGTAAACAATGTAAGACAACGTGTAAGCTAATGCATCAATATGCTCATGTACTGTACTGTATTATGCTGTGATTATTCAGTAATAATGGCTACATCTGTAATTCAAACATGTGTAATAAGATCCAATAGCAGTTGAAAATTTTATACACATTTCATTTTTAAAAGATTTTTGTTCAGCCGAGCCATGAACAAACAATTTTTTTTGCCTACTGTTCAGTGCCCAATTTCATGGTGCTGCTTATCGCAAGTGAAAAATCGGTGCTTACCGTAGCAGACAATTCTGTGCTCACGGTGAACGTACATGCATTTCGCGGGTTAGCGAGGAATTGTGGTTTGTGTATATGCGTACATCCCTCAACTAAGGATTCTGTGCTTAATGGGTTAGAGCAGAATTTTTCTGCTACATGTCGTGCGGTTAGCGCAGAATGCAGACTGGAAGTGCAGAATTCTGCGGTAAGCAGCTCCGTGAAATTGGGCTCAGTTTTTTTGAACGACCCTCTTGTAGGGACCACTAAAAAATCCATGCAGTAGGGTTAGGTTATATAATGTCGGCGAATACTGTTTTACAGTGTATACATACCGGTATGTACACAGTACACGAATGTCTACAGATGTTAGAGCTAGTCATGCATGGTAACAGAAAGTCGTTTATTGCCCCCAGCACTGATGTTGTATACATGTCCATGTGCCTCCTCTTGATATTGATCTATGTTTCTTTTTACTTTATTAAGCCCCCACCCCCTCCCCAGTGTTTCTACTGATTCTGTATGCAGCTACGGTACAGCTACATGTAAATAAGATAACAGCAAAGGTTGAGTGGCTTTTGTTTCAAGTAAAATGAAGTCCAGGTACATGTCCAGGTACATGTACGTGTATTTGTGCACATTAAATACATGTAAGTCAGCTGAACACAATTTTTTCTCTCTCTTTTTGTTCTAATCTCACATTTCCCCCAAATTGAAGGGTCACTCACTGGTAACTTTTTCTTGGCCTTTAGTAGGCTACTCGTACATGTACTTATCAAATGTACATGTACAGTACATGTAAATGTACATGTACCAGTAGCACACATGCAGATTTGAGATATTTGGCCCAATGATTTTTATCTTGCTCTTGTGTCCAGTGAACTGGAGC